TGGTTGTATCTGAGTCGTGCTATTGGGTTCTGATCTGTACCTGTGATCGTGACAGGATCACATCACTCCTGTTCTGAAGTCTTTACACTGGCTTCCTGTGTGTCAAAGAATAGATTTCAAAATACTGCTGCTGGTTTATAAAGCACTGAATGGTTTAGGCCCAAAATACATTTCTGACCTACTGCTAAATTATGAACCATCCAGATCTCTCAGGTATTCTGGGACTGGTCAGCTTTCTGTCCCCAGAGTCAGAACTAAACATGGTAAAGCAGCGTTCAGTTATTATGCTCCAAATATCTGGAACAAACTCCCAGAAACCTGCAGGTCCGCTGCAACTCTGACTACTTTTAAATCCAGGCTGAAGACTTATCTTTTTGTCGCTGCTTTTAATTGAAACTGAGCCGTTGTGTTCATCAGTAAAGTGGAACTTCTGTGTGAACTATTCATATCTTAAACTGCACTGTAACTTTTTATTCATGTACTTTTTATTCATGTATTTTTTCTTTTAATGTTTCTTTTATTATCTTTTACTGTTTTTAAATGCCTTTGTCTGAATGTCTTTCATTTTTGTAAAGCACCTTGAATTGCCTTGTGTTGAAAGGTGCTATATAAATAAACTTGCCTTGTCTTGCCTAGAATAAAGACTTGAAGACATGATTAAGCTGATTGTTAATGTGGTACATGACCCCCTGTAAGCTGTCATTTTAAAGATATATTCTAATTGGTGAACCTTAGACATGCTGGTAGTGGGGATTTTGTTATCTTTTGGGCAGCGCTAGGCTAGCTGTTTCCGGTCCTTATGTTACCTAAAGCTAACTGGCTAATGGCTCCAGTTTTGTATTGATGGACACGAGAGTAAAATCGATCTTCTCATCAAAGAAATAGAAAATAAGGGGAAAAGCATGTTTCCAAAATCCTTTAACAAATATTTCATAAGTTAAACTAAGCCATTCTCATTTATCCTTGCATCAATGTTAGTCATACAGTGAAAATAATACAGTTCTATATTGAAGCTCTGCTATTTCGGGGCCTTAAGGATGACCTAAAAAGATCCTGCAGGTCATTATTCCTGCTTATCACCTGCAATTGGCCACAGTGGGGGTTACTGAACATTTCATTTGCATATTGGACAAGTCAACAAAAAATTGGAACAGGGTTGAGATGCAAACATAGGTCATCCTAATTATGATGAGGGGGCGTTTTTTAAATTTCATAGACATTTCACAAACTTTTGATGACAGTTAGCTCTTTAAAAGTACAGAGCATTCAGTCACATTGGATGCCCTTTGCCCATCAATTAGTGTCTGCTGACTAAGGGGGAGCAGCTTTGGTACAGTGTAAATGACCTTAGCAGACAGCACAAACTCTGTATGCAGGGGATTAATGATGATATAATGAGATGGTGTCTTTTTTTCCTGGTCTTTTTGTCCCTCTGATCCATCCATCCAATAAGTCACCCATATCCATTCTTTTCATTCGACATATTTATTGAAATGTAAATATTCGTTCAGCCCATGAAGATCTAACGTTTGACTAAGGTGTACAATAAAAAGCTCTAATGATACAGTCAAGTTTTCATAATAAAACAGGAAAGCAAAGAGGTCCACTAGTATAGAATGAGATTGATAACGCTATAAAATGTATTTAAAAAGGCTGATCACACTTTAAAAAGTCACTATATTATTACTACTATGTTAATGTTTGAATACACTTAATGGCTGGGGACTTCCCAACAAATGTACTTTACACTGAAATGCATTTATTTTGTACCATTATCTTCCCTAGTATTGTGTCTGTGTTTATTGTATCCAAGCTGTTTTAAACCAAAATAGACGGGGGTATTTGGTTAGTGTTTGGTATTTTTAGCTCATAATGTTTCTGTATAAAACATGAAGTCTCTACAATTCCAGATATATCTAATATATTTTTTAAACACTTTCTTACTGTCGGGGCCCCTCTTCTCAAGGTTCTGATAGCTAATTGGAGTGTCCTATTTCCCATATTACCATTTTATTGTATTGTACTTTTAAACTGTTTTTAATAAAATTGAATTGAATTTGAATATAAATGAGACTGGGAACATTTCGAATAGGCAATTGTATACACCTCATTATACATCCACGTGGTGCTGAAGTATTTTGAAGTGAGGACCAAATGTAGTTTTCAATGTATTTCTGAGTCTCAAGTGTAATGTAGACTCCCCAGGGTTTATATCTCATAAAGATAAAAGTAAGTAGTTGAGGCTTGTCTGCAAAAGGAAGTGGTAATGACAAACTCCTGTCCCACTTTTATCTTTTGCTGTGTGCTGTTGTCACTGTCACAGTTGTTGTTAATAGTGTTTGATTAAAATCTAGAATACCCATAAAGTGGTGTGGGAATCCTAAAATACATAAATGAGTAAGCCTTTCACCACATCCGTTTTCTTCGTCTTGAACAGTTCTTTTAACATTGTTTTTTTGTTTGTAATAAGCTCTGTGTGTTTAACGCAAGTTTAAAGAGGACATTATGCTCTTTTTCAGGTTCATATTTGTATTTTGTGCCTCTACTGTGACATGTTTACATGTTTTATTGTTCAGAATATGATTTCATTGGTTAGCCAGCCAGCTTTGTTGTGATTGGTCGACCGCTTAGATATCTCCAGTGCCTTAGCACTCACGTACAATGTGTTGGAACGCTAGCCAATAAAAGCAAGAGCGTTACATAGTGTTGTAACTATTTTCAGGAAGTAAACAAAGGAGTCCAATGGAGGCGTTTCAGTATGTGGGGGAGTGTGTGGGGAAAAGAAGTTGCGTTGACATGTATAAAAGCCTATATAACACACTACACTACAGGAGAGGAAAAATTCCCCAAAAAACACAATAGGACTTCTTTAAGAGATTTTCAGGTTTCGTTCTACGACATTAAATATGTCAGTAAACACCCCACTCTTGAATATCCGAAGCTTCAATGTGACATAAAAACGTAGGTTGCTTACAAGTTACTAAATGAGACTATTAAACGTCATCATGCCAAACGCGAGTGCACCTTTAGCTTAGTGGTGATGATGAAAGTTGTGTGACTGGGATATAGTCGGTGTTTAGTTCAGCGTTAGTGTCGTACTTCTAGCGAATGCATTTATCTTCTAAATACAATAAAGCTGTCTTAATTTGTCTTAAAGATCATCCCGCCAAAAAAAGTTTAAATATCATAAATGGAAAAATACAATGGGATAATGCCATTGGTTTTGTCAAGTGAGCCCAAAAAAAACACGTCTTCACTGCACCACTCTATTTCAAATTAGAAATAGAACTATGACATTTTTAAACAGTTTAATTCATCACTCTATTTGAAATAGAGTGATGCAGTGAAGACATGTTTTTGTTTAACCTTTCAGTATAAATGAGGCGAAGCCTGCGAGCTAGTTCAGGCAGTCAACTCGAGCACTTATGCTGCATTCATACATAACGCCCCCTCGCCACTCTACAACCAACCAAACGAGTCTCCTTAATATGCTGCTCTATTTAACCTGCCAGATCTCTCTCCATGCATTGCTTGCTGCTGCTATTGCTGCAGCAACCTCTACGTCGCCACCACCCCAGCTTCCACCTGTAGGCTCGGGGGTTAGTTATTTAATCATCACTCATCGTGCTATGTATATCTATGGAGTGATGATGCCCGAGCCTAGTCGCCAAACTTAACTATATGCTGCTTCTAATAAACATGTTAAAGGAACACGTGAGTTGTCTGACTGAACTGTGTTTATTGTAACTGTTTTGGATAGCCACAGCATAGAAAGATACTGTATCAAGCTATGGGTGTAAAAGAACAATTTCTGGCATTTGCTTTGTGATGCGTAGTGTTGCTGATGTCAAGAAGTTCCAGGATGCGGGGTTGGTGTATCTCTTTTAGGTTAGCCAGGCGCTCCTCTGTGGACTGTAACATGGTGTACACAGATGGAGTCACCTGCAAACACAAAGCAGCTCATTGTGCTAACTGCACTGTTTCCTGTCTCTTCATTCAGAAGTGATGAGGCATCAAACACAACTGATGGAGATAAAGGAAATTGTGAGCACAAGAGCTGAAGACTTAAAGCTCTCAGCTCTGACACATATGTGCAAACGCCTGCATTAAGAACATTGACATCAACTGATGTGAAGTGCTCAAAGAATGTTAATAGTCTTCCCTGCAGCGAGGGCTATCTACAGCTTCTCGTGGTTACTTTCCTCTCTACACAATCCTCTGACACCTCTGCACCAGAAGCAAAGAAACATCTAACTGCACTTAGCCTATTTCAAGGTTTGGTCAGAAGGATTTTTATTATTACAATATTGAATGGCTGCCAGTTTAGTGTGTATTCATAATACACTTTTTTCTATTATTCAGAGACAACAAAGTTGCGCGAGTAAACACTATTTGTAAAAAGGCAAGTTGAGAAATAATGTTGCAAGATATGGGCATAATAGTACATAACTTTTTAACATAGCTGTAGGCTATAATAGTTGCCCTGTTTTATTTACAAATGTTACTTATTATTGCCATATTTACAGTATATTGTATTGTTATGGTGCTTAGCAATAGACATAACGTGGACTACTGAAAAATGTAAGATATTATTTAATGCTATTTGTTTAATTATGTAATATGTATGAATTTGCTTCAGTTTCAACACCATTAAGTGCAGATGCTCATTTTGACCTGGGTAAAATCTTAGTAAAGCATACTGAATGTTCTACTCTTGTCACCTACTGTAGGTGCAGACAGAAGCACACACATAGAGAGTAGAGGCAACAATTTGCTGAGCCGAGGTCATGGCAACAAAACACTGCAGTCAGACATTGATTTGTGTTCCCTGTAAGGAGCCAAGGTAATTATTAGGATCATCTGTCATTTGAAGCAGCTTTATTTAAAAGAAAGGGACATTGTCCAACACGTGGGTGACAGGAAATGAAGCCCCTGATCATTCATGAGAAAAACATAATTCTGTGTGAAGTTGCAGGCTGTCATGGACATTATATCCTCACCTTTTTTGGCTTGAGAGGCACTTTGCTCCTTAAACACGGAATGGCTGTCATGTTGTCTGTGTTTAGTAGCACATTCACCTGCAAAACAACAAAGGTCAAGAAGACAATTGTAATTAGTAACATATAACTTTATATAAATTATCCAAGACGTTGGTTTACGTTAATATGCTCATGTAGCTAATAGGCTAACAGTAAAAAGATAACGTTACTTTCCTCAGTAGCAAACGTATCCTTATTACAACAAGTCATTAAAACATATTCGCTACTTTTAAAGGAAATGAAGTTAACCCAAAAGTCTTAAAGTCAACTGACGTAACTTATAAGACAATTTGTTTGCTTACAGAAAATAACGGCTTCTTCGCATTTCCTAGGTTTTCACTCACCCTGGCACGCGCTGTTTACAGTACGTGATGTAAAATATGTGTTAAATGGTTAAATACTCCTCTTCCGTGACTTAACGTTACACCAAGCGTAACAAGGAAACCTGTTATGTTGTTGAACTGACAAAATAAGTAATACAACAAGTAGGCCCTACGTTAGTTAACCTACCAAGTCCGTAGGTGAATAAAACGGGTGATTTAGAACTTCGCTGTGGTTTGTGTTCCTCGGCAACGCACTTAACAACGGCCTCCACCAAGAAACTGTTCTCTCTGATTGGCTGGAACGCCTGAGAGAGAGAGAGAGAGAGAGAGCAGAGAGAAGAGAAGAGAGAGATGACGAGTAGAGAGCGATGAGAGAGAGAGAGAGGAGTAGAGATGAGAAGAGAGAGACGAGAGAATGAGATAGAGAGAGAGAGAGAGACACACCCACACACACACACATTAATGGTCTTTTGCTGGCTATACCATGCACACCAACAACTCAGGAAACATTTATTTTTGCATTATGTAGGGGAATATTTACTCTTTGAAATACTCATTAGCTTCACTCTTATACATTGTATTGCCGGCAATAGCGATTAACATACACTTAAATGTTGTAGACATGCTTAAAGTCGGAATTTGGGATTGTAACGTATCTGATCAACTCACTTAATTATCTGTGTTCGTATCAGCCCTCAAAATGGATGGTGTAACAGGTAGTCCAAACGCTTTCCAAGAGTGGCTGGAGTTGCAATCTGAATGGATTCAATATTTCACACAGGAAATATTCACCAAAACTTAACAAAACTTTTTTTTTCTTCTAACTTGTATAGTATAACCAGCAGGAGACCAATATTTTCAATCACATTAGATGATACTTGCCATCATATATTTATTAAATTAACTTCTCCTTTTCCGTCTCCCTCTCACACACAAGGAACAGACACACACACACAAAACCAGAAATAAATGAGCACTGTTGTTATCCGTGCATGTGTTCAAGAGGGTCATTTTAAGGATAAGTTGAACTACAAAAGGGATTTGAAAGTCTATGAGCAAGGTGTCAGGGAAGGAATTCATAATTGAATTTACGACTTTAGAAATCCACCTATTTATCCCTCTTGACTGTGTTCCTGGCCTATGTATTTGGACTGCTATCTTACAGAGGTTATTAATCTCTGACCCCGATCACCACTGATAAATATTTTCCCACAGTCCCCTTTCTGGGAATGTGTTAGAAAAATATCACTCGTCACCGGCTTGTGCTTCAATATAATAATAATAATAATTCATTTATTTTATATAGGCGCCTTTCAAGGCTCTCAAGGTCGCCGTACAAACACATAAAAAACAAGATACACAAACATAACACCAGCATAAGAGACATAAACAAGACAATGCAATATATAAATATATAAAATATCAGGATACATGTATTTATTATCCTTGCAAGAATGGAAGTCGTCATCAGAGCATATGGTACAACTAGTTCCTGAACAGTGTCCTTCAAATTCTTATACAAGAGAGGGTGTTACTGAGTCACAAGATGCAGGAATACCGGTTCAAAGCAGTATATAATGTTTTGTTTAGATTAGCTAAAACCCACGTAAGAAATGATCATGCTTGTCATATGTCTATCTCCATAGAGGGTGAATCATCACGTTAATCGTTGTTAGCTATCATATGCCTAAAGCAGTGTGTCCTGACGCTCTTCTAGGTAATCATACATCCTGTCATGTACGCAGTTACAGTTGGGTTTTTGACTACTCTGATATTGGAACAGTGCATTCAGTATTTTCCCAACAGAATGTCTTTTTTGTTTGCAGTATATTGTCAGTGACTGAAATATCCAGTCATTTTAGTTTATATTTTGATACTGTTCCACTGCTTTGTGTCAGTAAAGTCAAATACCTGTATAAAAGCCTTCTCTATATCGGAGGTAACAACATTCATGATTTATTTTTGGTTAAATACTAGTCAGATTTAAGAGCAAAGTGCTGCCACTCCAGGAAAAAAAAGAAAATTAGCATGTTGTAACTTTAAAATGATGATGTCATAGTCCAAGTGCATTTTATAATAGCAAGATGTTTTAATGTGTTTACAACATGCAAACTCACCATTTTATAACAAGAAACTTTTCCTACAATGTATTTGTATCTTATAACGTGAAACCTTTCAAGATGAACAGTAAGTGATCATATAAGACAAAAAGCAACTACAAGAGAAATAGTATATTCTTATAACAAGTTTTTTGTTTCTTTATTCTTAAACTTCCATAGAGTTAAAATCCTGTAATTCCAAGAAACGGTATAGAGGACATGAACTCAGTGTTGCCTACTCATTAACAGAGTTATAAAGTTAAATTATAGTTTTACCACACTGCTAGTAGATGTTCAAATAGTGTATATATGTGTTTTATCACACCACTTTGGTTAATAGTTCTCTTGAATGACTCTAACAGTCATATTACAGCTGTTAGTGTATGTGCTTTCACTGTTGTCACTTCCATTATTGTCTTTTAACCCGTGAGTCAGCATTTTGAATCGTGGTGCTGTGTGTGTGTGTGTGTGTGTGTGTGTGTGTGTGTGTGTGTGTGTGTGTGTGTGTGTGTGTGTGTGTGTGTGTGTGTGTGTGTGTGTGTGTGTGTGTGTGTGTGTGTGTGTGTGTGTGTGTGTGAGAGAGACAGAGAGACAGAGACAGAGAGAAAGATAAAGCGTTACCAGCCTATTTGCACAACTTGTCTCAGTTCATTTGTTTCAAGCACCTGCTTACTAAAACAAAACTCACTAACTCTGATGATATTACCATTTCCCCTCATCATTCTGTTTCTCTGTCCCTCTCTTGCCCTCTCATTGTTTTTCGCTCTGTCCCCAGCCCCTGCCTCTGACAGTGAACGCATCAGTGAGTTGCCCAGCCTGGTAGAAAATTGGATTTAGCTTCTTCAAAGGGACCGGCGGTAAATTCAAACCACGCCCCCTCGCTCTTCACGCACATACGTTGGCACGCAGCAGGACCTCCGCCACTCCGTCCGCCGCAGCAGATTCTCCATCAGCCGCTCCACTCCCGTGAACCCAGGACGGGAAGCGTCCGTCAAACACGACACAAACAGCGTCTTGTTAGATAAATAGTCTCGTTTATCTTCAGTTATGGAAGCGGCATCCTCCTCCTCCAGTCAGTGCAGGTAAGACCGATAAGGCTGTTGGTGGAGGGGAGAGAAATTAGCCATGGTTGTCAAGGCTACACTGTAGCATAATAGTGATATTCAAGACTGTTGAATGCATAACATCCGTGTAACAGGACGCATCTGATGCTGCACTGTCCTATTTCTTAGTTGTTTAAAGAAGCTAAGGCTACTGTAGCTAACTTGAAAGCTTTATTCAGAGGATTAGCAGCCTATAGGGGCTTTCCTCCCAAGATGACACCTCTCATTATGACGTAGTCGTGTGTTTACATTTAAGAGAGTATATCCTCCTGGGCATTTTGTACCCAATGGGGTCCAAAATGGGAACGAAATGGGTACAAAATGTCCACTGTAGTGGACAACACTTAACATGCATCTCCTTTTACTCTTTTGAGCTACTCAATCAAATGTTGTTGAATAATTTTTATTTTTACCATGAAAATCATATATGTCCTTGTTTATTAACATGTGAGGAACTATATAATTAGTTCTGAAAGCAATTAAATAATTCAAGTTTTGAAATAAGAGCTCTTTTATAATTGTCCATTCTAGTGGACGTCAGAACCATCTTCATGGACTTAATGACTCAAAGTCAATATTGTTGCAGGAGACGGAACTGAAGCAGACATTTTCTGTACCAGATAGTTAAGGGAGATTCAGATTTTGAGCTCTCAGATGATGAGAGAGATGAGGATTTCACATCTGGGATAGAAGAGGGTCAAGAAAGAAATCACCAAAAAAAAGGAAAATGGAAGACACTTTTTTTCCTTGGGTCCCAGGAGGATATTACATTAAGGCTTAGGGGGTTAATATGATTTGTACCAATCAAAGGATCAGTTGTTTCGAGTCCAGCCTCTAAAGTATCCTTGGGTAAGATACCTAACCCAAAATTGCTGTAACTAAGTCAAATAAAATATCAGCTTATGTAAAAAATATAATAAATAAAGTTGAATTACTCTCAGTACAATGCATGTATATACTCCCACTTAACAGGCCAGTCTTGTGCCACCAGTTCACAGAATGCCTCAGAGCTTAGCAAGTTTGTGCAGGCTGCACACACTTGCTGTGTTGTGTGTGCCCAGAGGTGCAGCCTGGAGGTTGTCTAAGTCTCCTGTCTGCTGCCTGAATTCAAAGTTCTGACAGCACCATGGACAGCTCCTGGAGAACCAGAGAGCTCACTTCCTGTTCTGAGTTAGCTCTCTCTGCTGTTACATAACACATTATAGGCCTGTGACAAACAGCCAAAAAGGGCTTTAGTTTTCGAGATACCGCTCCCGGAGTTAGGACAAAACACAACTTACTTTTTCCTCATCTCTAAGGCCTCCCATACATGAAATGGATTGTTGCATACAAATATTTTACTGCAAAAGTGGTGAAATTGATATATAAAGTTATACACCCCAAACTAAAAATAAAGCCTGGCCGTCTGGGGGTTGAGGCATATAAACTCATGTAGATTCACAATGGAAGGTCTGATAGGTTTAAAACTTGGCATACCTGAGGTCAGGACATCCCTCTGCATTATAGAAAAGACTGAATGTCAATATCTTACTGTAAATTTGAGATAGTCATTTGAACACATACCTACAATAGGCGGAAATGTAAATCTATGTAGAATGTTCTCTTTACTTTGTAGTGACTCTGACATGGATTGCCATAGCAACACATATGAGGGCTTGTTGGAAAGATGTGGTTCTACTGAATCCAGCAATACTAATTGTGTAAAGGTAGCTTACATACTCATGGAGTTATGTCACTAAACGTATAAGGTGTCCCAAATGGGGAAAATATGAAATAGTCCTAATTAAATCTATAGTATCACCAATTAGTTTTATTTTGACTTCACTTATCAGGGGTGGACAATAATAACAAATTATCTTGAGTAGAAGTCCCTAAAAGGTATGACAACTTGAGAATTGTTATTTTTTTAAGTAAAATATTGCAACTTCAACATTAGTGCAGAGAAAATGCAGGCCTATCAGCTATCAGGACATCAGCTTGTCGCGGGCGATGTTGGTGGTCAGAAACTGATCCACTAAGAACTGCAACACCTTGATTTTACAACTCAAGCTTATGCTCCTCATGACAGCAAGTCATTCTGCTCTGTAGAGAATGAAGAAGTTATACTACAGTATTTGACTCCACCTGCTTTATCTGCATCTCATTGCCTACGTGGGTTTCTTCACAAACTGACAGGTAAATCATTGCAAATATTTTTGGACTGTGAAAAGATGGGACCTTGTCAAATAAAATGGCTAATTAGCTAACTGGAAAGTGACCTAGCTTAATGTTTCATTAATGTAACAGAGCCTGTCCAGTAGCCTATATTCACAATAGACTCTGTTTCTCCTGGCTTAATTAGTATCACTGGTAACAATACTGTAAATAGAGCCTAACAAAAACAGTTTAAGTACAACATAGATACTGTACAAATTCTGAAGTGTATCTTTTTTCTTTTTTTTCAATTTTACCAGAATGGAGAGTGATGTACAAACAGTGGATCCAAATGGTATGGTAAACATTTTGAAAAAAGGAAGAAACAAGATCCATATGTCAAAAATCCCACAGCAGAAGGCCTCCAACGTATACGAAATGTTGCTCAACAGAGAGATGATGATGTTCATAAAACTCTCTCTCCATATACAGATGATATACTTTCGTTTAAAATAAAGGTATCATATCATCGATCATGTAGAGCAAACTACTCCAGTAAGACCAATATCAGTGAGCAACAAGTTGCAAATGTTGAAAGTGAGAGCATACCTGCATCAGTCTCTTCAAGAAAACTGAGTAGGGTTGATACATTATCGTTTGACATACGAAGAGATTGATTCATTTGTGGGAGGGCTAGATCAAGACCAGAACATCTGACAGCCATTATGACTGGTACAGGTAAGAGTACCCGAGACAAGGTCCTTCATGCAGCATCAGAAAGGCTTGATGAAGTTGTACATCTTCGGCTGCTCTCATATCCGGATCTCTTTGCATATGATGCCAAATATCATAGAAGCTGCCTTAAACACTATATCTCTAAACTAAATATAGCAGCTGCCAGACGAAAAAAAGAATCAGAACAGCAGACCAGTATCTATGACAAAGCTTTTATTAAGCTCACTGAACTCATTGACAAAACTATTTTCTCAAAAGAAATGAAAGTGACGACCCTCAACTTCTTGGCTGGGAGGTTTGATGACATACTGAAGACACTGAGGTCTGGGGAAGAAGATGAGACGGTCCAACACACTAAATACAGCTCCTGGAAACTGAAGGAAAAGCTCTTACTGCATTACAAGCACAGGCTGGTATTTGTAGAACGAGCTGGAAAGTCTGATTTGGTATGCTCTGAAAGTGTGCCCATGGGATTGGCAATGAGAGCTGTACAACTCGAAGACAAGGCAGAAGAGACAACAGCTTCTACAGCAGACTGTGAGACACAACAGCAAAGTCAAGGTCTCTCTGACAGGCAAATACTACATAGAGCTGCAGACATATTGAGAAAGAGCATGGAGCAGGTTGACCATGACCATAAATCATATGTCAGCAGTGATCGACTATCACGTCTACATTGCAGCAACTATGTACCAAACAATGTTTATGACTTTGTGAACTGGTGTGTTGATTCAAATGCTCACAGAAATTGTGAGACCTGTGATGAGGAACCAGCTTTGAAGGACAATCTGCGTGTCATTGCAATCTGCCATGATCTCATTGCACAGTGCCGTCACATCCATACGCCAATTACACTGGGACTTGCCATTTTGATTCATCATCAATTTGGCAGTAAGTCACTCATCAATGAGCTCAGTGCAATGGGGCACTGTGTTTCCTATACAGAGGTTCGACAGTTCCTCACATCTGTGGCAGCAGACCAGATATCAAGGACAGAGAGTGGTGTCTACATCCCAACTGGCCTCACTGGAGTCACTGAACATGGAATTGTTGATGCAGCCATCGATAACTTTGATCAGAATGAGGATACTCTGGACGGGAAGCAAACAACTCATGCTATGGCATCTGTTGTGTACCGAAGAGGCCATGTCTCCACTGCATATGAATGTCTAGCACGAGTCCCAGAGAGGTCTCTCTCAACCTTGAACACAGCTGACTTGAATGGAGAGAAACTTCACAGATATGTTTGGATTATTTGAATTTGTATTCATTCCGTTTTCATGTGTATAGTCACAGTACAAATTAATTGGTGGGGGTGTTCAATATGAATACTTGGTGAGGTTTAGTGTTCTGAGTTGATATTTAATGCATGATAACAAGCTTATCTTATTATTTCTGGATACAGATATATCAAACCTCCAAAGCGACCAGAACCGCCCGAACTTCCCAAACCTGAGATACTACACATAAACACAGCAGTCTCCAAAGCAGCAGAAGGCAGAGACCTGGTATGGAAGCTGGCCCGAAACCAGAGCGAGAATCAACAGCATATTCCTGCGTGGTCTGCATTCAATGCCTTCACATCAGACACACCTTGTCCAGTAGCCAGTGTACTATACATGCCCTTCATAAGAGAATCGCCCTCAGATTTGTCCACCATCTATACAGCTATGATACAGCTTGTACAGCTAGCTGAAGAACTGGGACAACACCATGTGCTTGTGACTGCAGACCTTGCAATTTATAGCAAAGCGCAACAGATATTGTGGAACAAACCAGAGCTCTTAAAAGGGAAGATCACAATGAGACTAGGAGGTATGCATATCACAATGGCTTACCTTGCAAGCATTGGAAAGCTCTATGGTGATGGCGGACATACTCACTGAGTCAGACGTGTATGCAGAGGGCACAGCCCGACAGTTGCTTCAGGGGAAGCAGCTGGCAAGAGGAATAAGGAGCATAAAGCTAGCCTCTGAGGCTCTGTTCAGGCTCTTCTGGAAAGCCATGCAATCATGGCTTGAAAAGAAAGGCAAATGTGCAATAACTGGAGCACAAGAGCAACTCCTACGAGATGTACAGCATGCATTTCATGGTAATGACAAGGCCACTGC